AATTGTAAACATTTATTAAACAATTAACGAAGTAAGATAGGGCATGAAAACTGGAACTTACCATAAGACAAGTTTGCATGTTTTCCTTCATTCACAAGTCATGTGAATGAAGGAGATGTAATGCAAAATTTTCGCCATAAATTGGGTTTCATTTCTGAACAATGCCACTCTTGTCAGATGTAGAATGTCTCTATCGAAGATTCAAATTACTTTGAAGAAGTTCAATTTTTCGATAAGTTCTCTCGTAGGTTGACATTTCTCTAATCTCAGCCCTTCACGTTCTACCATGTCCTCCATAATCTTGATTCATCATTTCCTTTGAATAAATTTACAACCTGCCTTGACTGGGTTTCCATTCCAATCTCAAATGTTTCCTCTTTGAGCCTCATTTCGTATAGCGTCGAAATTTAGCTTCAGTGCTGAACTTGTCCCTTCTTATTTTGTGGCCTCCATTCTCAATTCTCACATTACGATCTTCACTTCCTGCTTGCTCATGACAATGTTGCTCTCCTCCTCCTATGTATTATACGAAAACATAACTTGTAAATAATTTAAAAATATATATATTATCTTCTTTATAACTACTTTGAATAAAAAAATACCTATTTGGATAGGGATAAGTACACTAATAGACGGGTAATCAAATTGCAACTTTTTTTCCAAGTTGGTTGTGATTCTAGCGTTTTCCGGCAACAATAAGGAACCTTTTTTTGTGCCGGAAGTTTTGATTAAAGCAAACAGCTACCGAACAGCCACATGTAGAGGAGTTGCAATTGATTTTACTGTGGATTTGAATCACGAGGTTGCTGCACCATGGGTGTTGTCACCACTGCAGAACCGATGTCGTAGAAGGACGTCGCTAATGCAAGGGAGTCACACCGCCGTGGAGGGATGTTGCCACTGCTACCGTTCCAAACTGGGAACGCGTCGCCAGCTACTGCAGATCATCGTTTATGGTGGGTTGCATCGTCACAAGTTTGTCATTGTTTGGGTGTCGTTGGAAAAAGAGAGATTGGGGCAGCTACTTTCGAACGGGAGCAAAAAATAAAATCTATAGTGTTTTTTTCAAAGGAGAAAATAGGTGCTGCCACCATAGGGAAAAATAGTATATATTATATAATCTAGAAGTATATATAACAATAAAAAGTATATATTATACCACCTTTTATAAGAGTATATGTTTATATTAGAATATTAAAATGAAAAATATATTATATAAATGGTCGTATGAGTATATTATATAATCTAATAGTTTAGTATATAGCAACAAAAAAAAATTTATAACCTTTTGGAAGAGTATATGTTTATACACACCGAAAAAAAATAATGGAGGGAATAAGATAATTAAAATAAAAAGTATATATTATATAACTATGTTTATTATACTATTGCTAAAAAAAAGAGGTAAAAAAATAACTGATGGTAACATTTGAATAACATAATAATATTTTTGTTGTATAGAACACTACAAAGTTTTCGAAAATTTTGGTTGGTTTGATATAATATATAGTTTATAGTTTATGTGAGATTGATTTCAATTGATCGATTCTTTATCATAAAATCAACTATTGTTGTTTACAGCGGAATATAATTTATATCTACAAATAAGTACAAAGTTGGTAGATGATCCTGCTTCAGTTTTAAGAACTCAATAACCTGATATAGTTTATATATGTTTGTATGTCTATTGAATATAGAAGTATATAGTTTATAATTGACTCATAAGTACTTACGTACGCGTAATCGTAAAACATTATTATTTGAATTGATTATTTCCATAATTCCTTAATTCCTTAAAATTAATTACAAAAAAATTATTATAATATAGGTTAACAATTTAGTATAATATATCCGTGAGTAAATTAAGGGATTATGAAATAAATGATTTGGGACCTAAAATCAAAGGAATTTAAATATTTGACAATTAAATAAAATAACTAACGATAATAAATATAAATATCATAAATAAGGATAAAATTAGAATTAAAATAAAATATTAGACATTATCTCATTTAAAATAATCTGATATTTGATAATGACCCAACAGAAGGCTTGGGCCTCACGTGGTTCCAATTCGCGTCCGCCAAGCACTAGCAGCTGGCCAACCCTCACGCACCTTCGCTCACTTTCTGCCGACTTCTCCGGCAAATTTAATCATTTGTTAAAAAATAATATTTTTATTCTATATTTTTATTTTTATTTTCTGTTTTTAGAAATCATATGTATCAATTTATTTGGTTTTTTGTTTTCTTTTTAACATTATTTGGTATTTTTTTCGTTTTCTTACGGATTTATTTTAATTCTGAGTCAAATTTAAGAAATAAAAATAAGTTTTTGAAAACTACCACTTATATTTTTTTAAAATATGGCTTGAAATTTGAAGCGTTTTTAAAATTTGTGTAACAAAAAAAAGAATTACATAGATGAGAGTGGAAGTAATATTTTTATCTTAAGCTTAATTTTTACGGATAAAATCAAAAATAAAATTGTTATGGAACCATGCTTTAGTTTTTTTTTGGCATGTAATAACTTACGATTTTAAAATTGTAATTGATTTTTTTAGTATGTAATAATTTAGTGGATTTACCTATCTCAGCTAATTAAGACATCTAGCTGAGCTTTTTCAATGGGATAGTTTTCGACTCTTGGACCAACTAACAAACTAACATGTAAAAAATGTAATGACTTACATTAATATTTAAGTAGCAACATGTCGAAGTGGGCATTGCAGTGCTTATCGCAATTGACATATATTTACAATCAACAGATTATGAGTTCGATCCCACGTTCATATATTGTCGTGTATATATATATATGTCATTGGTATATTTGTAGTGCTATTTATTTTTATTTTTTTTAGAAAAACTAAAAATTTATCTTCTTTTGCTTCATAAATTCCTAAAAAACATAATGGCGACCAATAGAAGATATATACAAATCGTCCAGTACCTCAATATTGTTCATGGCTGAATTATTCCTCTTTTATTTTATATCATGTCTATTATTTATTTATTTTTAGCTCTAATACATTTTATTTTCATCCCCGTTATTGTTGTTTTAAACAATATTTAGTCGCTATTTGATCAATACCCATCTTCTTGACACTCAAATTTACCATTTAACAAAAAAACGAAAAAAAAAATGTTTGTTTATTATCTCTTATTTATCAAACATTTAATTAAGACGAAGAATAAACAATGATCATTACGTTTGTTTTTTTTGTTATGCACACTATTATTATTTTTTTCTTTTTCTGTATCGAGTAAAAAAAAAACTATACATTTCAAAAGTATTATTAGGAGTGATCAAATTTAGGAGCCAATTTCGTATTTTGAATTATTTTCAGTCGTACAATCTAGAAGAAATACGTGTGTGGCTTGGGAAAAAACTGAAAATAAATTTGAATTATATTGATTACAAGTGTCAAAAATTAGAAAACAACAACAGTAAGACTTAGGAGTGGTTGTGTCATATCTCCATGATTTTTTTTAAGCCAGGTAAGTCACCCAAGTTTGGATAAGGCTGGACGCCCAAAATAATAAACTATAAAAAAATAAAAATAATATTTATGTTGTCAAATACACAATTTTTTTAAACAAATCAATAAATAAATTAATATATATATATATATTTTGCTTAAAAAAACAAATATTTATTAAATTTTTAAGAGTGATTGGTATAAATAGGTATTCATCGATAATATTGATCTAAACGGTATAGATTAACATTTATTTTCAACTTCAACATAGCTCAACTTAGGACATAAACAAAAAAATTCAACAAGTTTAATGTTAAAACTTTTATTTATATGAAAATGAGCTTGAACTTGCAAAATATATGTGAATGAGAGAAAAAAAAATAGTTTTTAGATTATAAATTTATGTTCAGTGCCAATTGTAATATCTAGTTGGAAATGAAATATGGTGATCGGGTTTTTTTTTTTTTTTAAATGTAAATCAAATATTACTAGTTAAGTGACTGACCTATAAAACATAGGTCTCTTAATTTTATCAAACGGATGATTATTTTATGCATGATCAAAATTTTAAAAAAATCATATATATCTTAAGATATTTTAATTTTATAGTCAAGTTTGGTCTAATTTAGGTAATCGTGCCGATAGCTTGAAATAGTTCCAACATTGTTTATAATTAGTTACTTATTATTTTATTTTAATTTTAATATTAGACCTACGTTGAAATTTGAATTTACGATTTTAATATTTGTTTGACATCACGAAGTTTAATAACTAATTTTAAGTCGTTTAAAATTCGATAAATAATTTTAAGTTATTCATTTAGTTTTTAGTGAAAAATGATTTTAAATTAATGTAATTAAATTTACTTCTATTTAGATGGTGKTTGGAAATAAAGTTTTTTTATACTATAGGTTCTTATCCTTAATCTATAAATAACAAAATTAAAACATGAAAATACTTTAAACTTTCAAGCTACATGAATTAATGTGGCAGCATATAACAAAAATCATTTGAAATTTGTCAAAATTTAAAATTATCAAAATTTTAAACTACAAAAAATATCACATGGAAGGTTACTACGCGCTTTCGCTAAACTTGACAAATTTAAAATTATCAAAATCTTAAACTACCAAAAATATCACATGGAAGGTTATTACGTGCTTTCGCTAAACTACATTTATTAACGTTGATATCCAATAATGATATAAAAACAATTTTATAAAATACGATAAATTGTAGTCAACTAAAACATAATTTAATTGGTCGACGAAAAGGTCGTGAATTCCACATGTTGTACTAAAAACATATATACGTAGGAATCAAATTAGATATTTTAAAATTAGGGATCACATTAAAACTAATCCCAAATTATGTGGCTAAATTGGTAATTCAGCATATATTTTATTACAAGGTAAAATACAATTAAGAGAAAGAACCACGTGCATGCACGTGCCATCTGCTATATTAGTTTTCTTAACAAGGTGGGTTATATAAAATTGAAAATAAATAAAAATAAAAAAAATCCGCGAGAATTACAGATCTTAACGCTACACGACACAACAAATTGGCTTTCGTTCCCACCATAAAATTTTACCATCCATTGGTCGGCCATTTCGAATCTCCACTCCTCTCTCTTTCTCCATTTTTTTTTCTTCTTCTTCTTCTTCTTCTTCTTCCCATCCCATCAATGGCGGACAGCGATCTCACCTCGCAGCTACTCCCCGCCGAACCCACCGATCGCGTCGATGTAATCCTCAGAATCGAAGACGACACCGGTCCACCGGAGCAGATCAATTATCAGAACGGCAATCACGACGATTCTCGATTGTGTTCTCGAAATCCCTATGGGTTTCTTGGCTCGGATGGATTCTCCGTTCCGGAGACCGCCACGATGGATCCGTTTCGGAACTCCACGCCGAGTATCGATGGGGTTTATGAGTGGGTTAAGATTGTGGTCTGCATACCTATTGCGCTTGTTCGTCTCGTGCTTTTTGGACTCGGTCTTTTGGTTGGATATGTAGCGACAAAGTCAGCGCTTCATGGGTGGAAGGATAGGGAGAATCCGATGCCGAGGTGGAGGTGTAGGCTCATGGGGGTTACAAGGCTTTGCTCGCGGTGTATTCTATTTTCTTTTGGGTGAGATACGTTCTGTTTTTCATTTGATTTTTCGTTTACTTAATTCGAATTTCAAAGTTCATGTGTTCGTTTACTTACTTCGAGTTTCAAAGTTTATGTAGACGAACTACTGTTGTATTTGCAATGTTGCCGTACGAAGGTTTCTTGTTCTCTTGCTATCTTATCTCCATGAGTTGGCGATTTCATATACTATATAAGCTTTATTTAGGGATGATTGGGTGGCGAGAAAAACAGAGAAGTGGATATGGAACTTGGATTTGTGGCAGTTAAATTGCATTTCTTATTTTATTTTTACTTTATTTCTTATAGTTCATCTAGTATCTGGGTCATCTGGTGTGTACTCCAATTATTGCAAGACAGTAAAGTTACTGAAATGAGTAGTGGGTTGTTTAAATTTTTGAAATAAAGTCTACAAGGGTGCTCTTATCGGTTGCTTAAATCAAGGGTCCTCTCTCTTTCCTCTCTTACTCCTCTTGATGGTTATTCGTGTTTCTTTTTTTGGATGTCTTGGATTTATTCGGACTGTCAAGCAAGACATAAGAGGAAAAAGAAAATTATTGTAGAAGAGGCACTGAATGAGAAGGGCTCTTACAATTTGTCAGCATGTTATTCTGCTATGCCAAATATTTGTGATTTTTGGTGCAAAATCACTTCTGGAATGAGTTCTGTTTGATTGTTTATCTCTTATCCTGAGCACAATTTATATATAATTTGTTTGAATTCCAATTTTTTCTACCGTTATTTTCCTAATTTAGTGATTTTCCTTTGTCTTTCTCCCTCAGATATCATTGGATAAAAAGAAAAGGGAGACCTGCTCCAAGGGAAATTGCTCCAATTGTCGTATCTAATCATGTATCTTATATAGAACCTATCTTTTATTTTTATGAGTTATTTCCAACCATGGTCGCAGCTGAGTCCCACGATTCGATACCCTTTGTTGGGACCATTATCAGAGCCATGCAGGTCATTTCATGCCCTTTACCACTAAATTAACTGATTCCAAGTAAAGAAGCAAGACCTTATTGAATACCTAATAAATTTCATAACTAATTAGTTCATCTGGTCATTATAATGTAGTACGTTAGTTTATGTTTATATATGATCAGTTTCTCGTGAGAGAAGTATCATAATTGTTGTTTTCATGTTCTTAGGTGATCTATGTAGATAGGTTTTCACCTACATCAAAGAAGCATGCCATTAGTGAAATAAAGGTAAAAAGTTTCTGTAACTTTTGTATGTACTTATACATCCCCTTGCATGTAATACCCATGTTGTTGAGCACTGAATCTTGAAAACATATTAGAGATCTTTTACGTAAATGGGGGCTCTTGTAACATAGTTTCTTGTTTTTTTTTTTTTAAATAAAAATACTATTTAGGTGGTGTGTACCTCAATAAGAGGCCAAGAGCCTCTAGCACCTAGGTGTGCTTTTTAAAACAATGATTGAAGAATTATTTTTGTACCATTATGATTATGTTTCCATTCCCCTAATTGAAAATTTTCAAGCATTATATATATATATTTTGATAAGAAACTGCACTTTCAAAAGCTACAAAAAGAGGGCATACAAAAAAACAGCCCAGCAACAGGAAACCCCTAAAGAAACGGGCTCCAATCCAAAAGAATGACTCCTAACTGATAATTACGAAAAACCTCAGTGACCGATCCCCATAGAGAAGTGTTAAATCTAATGAAATCCCACACATAATTCAAGCATTATATTTTATATGCATAATACGTTAACAGTTCTCATTAGATTATTGCCTTTTTAACAAAGGTTAAAACTTATGCACATAGTTTAATACAAGGGCAATGATGAATAAATGATCTAGTATCCCCTCCCACTTTTCCTTGATTCACAAGTGTGTGAGAGTTGACTTGAATCAACGTGATAAGATCTTTGATAGAAAACTGTGCTTTCAAGGATGTGAATACAGAGAAAGGCTTCTTGTAATAGATTTCCAAGAGTTTTATTATTTCCGGAGGGCACCACAACAAATGGAAGGTCTCTTATTTCTTTTCAACTTGGTGCTTTCCTTCCTGGTTATGCAATCCAACCCGTAGTTGTTCGTTATCCTCATGTACACTTTGACCAATCATGGTAAGTGTTCACTGCTCATTTGATTTTTTATTTGGGTGATGCCAATAGATCTTACCATGTTGTTTGTGAAAATGATGTTTTGCTTAGGGGGCTTGTTTCTTTGCCGAAGATCATGATTAGAATGTTTTTGCAATTTCACAATTACATGGAGGTATTATTATTATTATTTTTTTCCATTTTCTTTTGGTATCCTGCACCTGTTTATAAACTTTTGGTTCGATTTAATTTAGACACTGTTAAAGTCACATTGTATTTTCTGACCAGGTTGAGTATCTTCCTGTTATTTCACCACGGCATAACAGAAAAGAAAGTACTCTTGAATTTGCTAAGAGAGTAAGGTTCTGCTCATCTGAGTTTATAATTTCTTTTTTACTTTACCATACCAGTTTGTTTATCTTCTTTGTTGATCTTCCACTAGCAATCCAGTGGATGTATGGGTGGTTATTTCCCACTTTAGTTTTTACTGATTGTTTTTCCCCATGAAAACCTCCTTTATTGAAAATATCAGTCTGGAAAACTTTCACTCCACTTATTTATACTTTCTTTTAGATCTAACTCCTGAATTCTTGTTAAAAGAAGCTATTATCTCATTTCTAATGTTCCTGACTCTTTTTTATCCTGCACTTTAAAGTTCCAGTTTGTTTTGGATGGATTTAAATCCTTCCCAACCATGTACTGTACTTTCCTTTCCCCAGGATTTATATATTGATTGGAATTAAGGGTGGATAATTGATACATTTTGATTTTTGAACCTAAAAGCAGAAAAACCCTATTTAATGTCCGAAGACTCAAGGATGCTTAAACAATGATTAGAAAGTACTCATAACTAAGGCTTCTTGTCTAATAGGGTGGGATACCACTTGTCAAGTGGACGGTGCTCAATGTTTTTTTTTCGTGATGGATTATTTTATTACTCAATCAAATTATAGGATGTTTCTACTTATTTGATTGGTTACTTCTATTTTATGGTCAGTTCAATGTTGATTCTTGACAAGAATTGAAAAATTATTCATGCAGACTAGCCATGCAATTGCCACCTCCCTAAATGTTGTCCAAACGTCTCATTCATATGGAGATTTAATGCTTCTGACCAAGGCCTCCGAGGCAAAACAAGTATGTACTTCTGTTTTTTTTCTCAAATATTGCATTTAATGTTTTTGTACTTCCCAATAATTCGCATTTAAATTCTAGTGTTACTTCCTTAAACCTTTTGCAACATATATTTATTATTTTCTAAGCATTATTGATACGGACAAATCCAGTAGTGCATGAAAAATAATGAATATTTAATTTGGTACATAGAGCTAAATGTGAATAATGGATCTGGTTTGTCATGCATCACCTACCCAGTGATTTCAACTGTGATTTTTGACAATTTTTGTTGTATAACATTTTGTTTGTGCATGTACAGTCATGTTATACTGACACTGGTGTTAATGGTCTTTAGCTTCTGCCTTTTATCTGAACCAAATGCTTATATTTTCCTTTTTTATTCTTATCTCATTGTGATAATAATTTTGCAGGAGAGACCCTCTGATTATTTGATCGAAATGGCCAAGATGGAACAAGTGAGTCCTTGTTACAATAACGATGAATAATCATTTCTTTTGCTTAATCCATAGAATTTGAAGGCAAATCACTTGTGCGTCTCTTTGTTTGGATGAAACTTTAAAAAGTTGTTCTCTCTAATCTTTATTTAAATTTGGGCTAATGGTTCTTCCTAGTAAATGTTCCATCTCTGTCAGACGTTCTGCTCCTGGGGTATGATCAAGTTCTGCCTCCAGTAGCTGTGACTTGTTATTGTTTTAGTTTATCGCCTTTTTAATTCTCTCCTTACATTTCACATTCTCTTCTAAATGTATATTACTAAGTTTGGTTTCTTTTCCCCCATTTGTTCCAGGTCAGCAGCCTTGAAGCTGTTGATTTTCTTGATAAGTTTCTGTCCATGAATCCAGACTCTAGGTACTATTCTATTTTTTCCTTCCATATGTGCAAAATATACAAGGAATGTTCTATTTTATTGGTAGCGTTGGATGTGAGAAAGTAAGGAAAATAATTCTTTTTGGAGATATAGATTGGGAAGAATTTCTGATAATTGATATTTGTGATACAGTGAGTATACTTTCCAATTTTATTATCCCATTATTTTAAAGAAAAGCTAATTATTTACCAGTTGGAGTTTTTTTCTTCTCCAATAGTACTCTTATATCCTAGCTTGGGTTTCAAGACCTTCTCCTCCTCTTACCCGTGCATTTTCTTCACGGTACAAATTGTTTCTTATAAATAAACCATCCAAATAATGAACAGGACATTGACATCCTTCACTTTTGCTGTAGAAATTAGTGACATTAAAATTGAGTCACGTTACATGTATTCTCTGATAAAAGATGGTTATAAATGATTTCTGAAGGATCAACATCATAAAGATTTTGAAATTGAGGATGTACGTTCAAGGATCTCTGTATATTCTAGAGTCCTGAAAAGGAAACAATACTTGCAGTAAGAAAGATCACCGTACAAATGAGATCTGTAAGGTCGAAGAATCGAGAAAACCAAAGCTAGAGCTATACAATTCTGCAAGAAGCCAAAGAAATCTCTGGACATAGACCCCCAAGTAAGAGTAAAATACAGAGGAGCTAGAGAAAAGTTAGCTAGAAGTGAAGTCTATAATCATGTATTACAAGTTGTTCATTGCTCCACCTCTGGGCTGTCGATAATCCTAACTCGTATTTGCAAAAAACCCTGTTTTCTACTTTGTCTAGAACTGTGACAAAATGCATGCCAAACAGTCTTCCGCTTTCCTCCAAAATGGGGACTACCTAGTAAGACAAAATTGCGCCTGCATGTCTATAGCAAGATTATTCTCGATTGTATGGGAAAAATGAGCAATCAAAGGATTTTGTTACTTGAAAGGTTCTTTTACTTTGGGATTTGAAGGCATATAGGAGGGCACGTGAAGCATTCCCCCAATCAAACCTCTCATCCAAAAGCTTTTGAAGCATAAAGCTGGGCAATCAAATTATCCTTTACCGTGAAAAGCTTGTATGGTATTTCAAAATATATGATATTTTGATATCATTGTCTTGTTCTTTTTGCAGTGGCCGTGCTACATATGATGGCTTTATAAGAGCTTTAAGACTCAAGGCTTGTACGGTTGCTGAAGAGGTGAGTTCACTATAGCTTCAATATCTTCACTAGCAGTTGTTTCTCAAATTGTTTATGCACGTTGCTTATGCTTAAATTGAAAGTAAACATGGCTAAATATTTATTACTTTCTTCAAGTGGGAAAGACTTTCAAGGTGGTAGATATTCTTATATTAGGTGTGTGAACAAAGCAATTAACTTTTCAAAATTTGAGAATTTGATACTTCCATTTTTCTAATATTTGAAGAAAGTATTCTCTTATCTAAAAATTTATTGAATATAAAATATAGAATGCACTAGTTGTTTCGTTTGTGCTGCTTGAATCGTTGACGTCTATTCCCTGGTGCATTAAGATTCGGATTCTCTCTCCATTAAGAGCAGAGTGTAATTAAATTTCTTAGGAATTTTCAATATCAGCGATGTGGTCCTGAGATTGTGAATATTTGCTTGGAGGAAAGGTAATTAAGAGTTATTAATGCGTAATGGTAAAACGTATTGATGTTTTATCACTGCAAATGAGCTTTACCAACTGTATTTCTTGTAATCTTTTCCTAATATCATGAGCCGGCGCGAAGTAATCATGTCGATGCTTTGATGTTCTTGATTCGTTTTATCTCTTTCTCTATCTATTCCTACCTCAAATTTTCATGTTGTTTACGTTCCTTGGTTATTTCAAAAAGAGTGATTGAATATCATTTTTTCTTCTTTATATGCTGCAGATATTTTCTTTTATTGATATAGAGGAGATGGGATCAATAACATTCAAGCAGGTTTTTCCTTCTCTCAGCGATCCTTTGATTGAGCTTCCTGTCACACAGTGCCAATAGTTTCTCTATTCCACACCTTTCACAGTGTGTGTCATCTGTTTGATGCCAAGAACTTCGAAGTTTAGATAATTCACCATTTTTATCTGCATGCGTAAATAGGTTTCACTTCTGTTCAGTTTGCTTCAAGCAAATTGCTAGGTTAAAAAAATTGCTGTGACGTAGAAACTATGGCATATTGATGGATGATTACTTGTTAATAGAAACTGCTTTCTGATGTAAGAAAATTTGCAGTTTTTTTCTCTGAAAAGAAATTGGCTCATGTGATTCCTTATTTCCGATTGAACTTCCATAATATCATCCCATTATTTTAATAGTTAAGAACTGTACGATGCATTCTAAGCGTAATGACCACTTTGTCCTGCTTGCTTTGCATTGTCCATCTTCAGTGCTCTTTTTTAGAGTTACTTTTACTTGAATTCTTTCTAATTCCACAGTTGCTCATAATTTGTGTTTTTTGTTGCTACCAGTACCTGTTCGGTTCTTTACATGTTACGAGGCTGCAAAATTTTCAGCAATCCTGTGAGACGATCCTTGATGAATGTAGCAACGAAGGAGATAACATTTCAGAACAAAAAGTAAACTTGCCGTTCCTTTTTTCTTTTATTGTTGTTATTACCTTTTTGCATTTGGATGAATGCTGATTTCTCATTCTCTGGTTACTCATTGGTATCAGCTAGAAGAATTCATCAGACCAGCAATACCAGATCTGAATACCGACGAGGTACGGTACCTTTCTTCATATATTAAATGAACTACATTTTCAACAATACTGACCTTCACAACCCACAGAAAAACTAATCACCAACATCAGATCTACCCCTTCTTCTCTGTCAAGTATTAGATTTAATCTCCATCTTTGTATACGAGTGATTGCAGGCCCATGAGCTCTTCAAACTGTTTGATACTGATGGCGACGGGAAGATTAGCAAGGACGATTTCCTCTGCTGCTTAAGAAAGAACCCGCTGCTGATTGCACTTTTCTCGTGGCATCTGCTGCCGAGTTCGTAGTCGGAGATAACATAGTGTGTCTAACATTGTTTGATGATTGAGTTTGTTTCCCATGTCTTGTTTGGTCATATTACTATAACCTCCTCCCTGAATATTGATTAGGAGGAAACAAAGATGTAGGAGAGGGTTGGGCTTTTCCATGAATATACAATAGGTAGTGGGGCAACATATTTTACTACATTGCCCCTTGTGAAGTTATCCACTCCTTAAAACTTCTTCATATGTTTTGATCTGAGTTCTTGTAGTGTCAAAAAACTCTCTGCCTTTTGGTAATGTTGCCATAATCTATACAACTTTGCTGTTTGCTGATTGCTGATTATAAAATCTGCTCAACAGACTCCAGGCCATTACCTTGTGGATATTCAAATTCTCTCCATGTTCCAAACTCGAGGTACTGTATCTCAATCATAATCTGTAATAAATTTGTTTGGATATTGATACAATATGAGCTGTTCATTTATTTTCAAAAGGGTGAGCTGTAAAATTGTTTGCTTCTTGGAATTCCTTTTCTATTAACAGTGATGGAAAAAAAGAGTTAAAACAGCCCCATTGGTTATAGGTGAACTGTCAATTGTGGAAAAGTGTCAAACTTTTGTAGAGAGAGTTTGGAAGATGCTTGGTTCATGAAATGTTAAGTTCTGTGAACCACATCATAAACTCACGTTGATTATTTCATCATAGAAATTAGAAATTTAGTGCCCGTTGCTAATATTTCATTTCTTGTTTATAAATTATTAAAGAAGTTTAGGCCTTTAACAATAACAACTATTCGTGTTAACTTTTTCTTTCTTTCTTTCTTTTTTTTTCTCTCTTAGAAATATTCTCAAAATTGAATATAAATTTTAGAAACAATTTGTTTTTGTTCTCGCTTTTGATTTCTTTCAAAACATAAACAAAAGTATTGTTTTGTCATCTTTAAATCTATGAGTGTTAGCTATTGGTGGCCCTGCAGTACTAATTTTCTTTGTTTAAAATGATAAAACATAAACAAATAACGGCAACATTACCAAACAGACTCTTAAAAAAAAGGTTCATTTGGTAATGTCATTTTTTTTCTCATTTTCTATTTCTTCTTTTTAATTAAGAAAATAGAACAGCATTTGGTAAAAAACATGGTTGGTAATTGTTTAGCATTTCTTATTCAAGGTTGGCAAGAGATTGGGGCCTCTTTGTCATATCTCAAGTTCAAACCTTTTTGTATACTTAATATAAAAAATTATTGATGTCTTTCGGGTCTGGACTTTAGGCAGGTACAAATGCTCCTGGGTATTAGTCGAGCCTAGTTCCGGCTCCCAATTATTTAAAAAAATTAAAAAAAAATTTGAAGTGTGGTCTATCTGAAAATAGGAAGGGAGAGACAGGGTAGCAGCAGCTAATGGGCATTGAAGTGGATGATTGGAGGTGTTTGTCCTATCTTTTCACTTATATTATTATTATTGTACTGCTACTGCATCCATTTATGGTGATTGACGTAAAACTAGTTTTTTCCCAAACAAGTCAATAAGTTTTGGATAAGAATTTTAAATTTTTAAACCTATTCTTTGGTTTTCTTTTTTTTTTTTGCCTTTTGTAAAATTTTAATTATTTATTATCCTTTCTCTTTTCCTCCATCACCCTTCGTTGCACTAAGAAAAGAAAAATCCAAAGAAATAAAGAGACGAAAAAAAAAAGGAGAGTGAGAAGGATAAAATAATGAGAGAGAGAGTGAGGAGTGGGGCCGTAAGAAATTCTTACCAGTGGCCAAGGTGGGCCCCGCCCCTATTCCAACAACGTTGGCAAAGCTTCCCCAATCGCATCGCTATTTTATTTTATTATTTTATTATTTTTGACAAGTCCTATAATTCTGTTTCTTTTTTTCTTTTCTTTTTCCCAATTGAAGAGAAAAAAAAGAAAAGATAAAAAAATCTCAACAGTCCCAAACCATGTGATTTGCTTCCGAGTCTCGGTGCTTGGCTGTGTTCCCCTACGACCGTGCCTACTTTAACCTCTTGGAGCTGTCTCCTTTATGAGTGTTGTCGGATGCTATTTCATTATCAATACAATATCAATCGTGGTTTTAAGTATCCGTCGACATGTCGATATGTCCATTAACATATCCATGTATCCATGGGTTCGACAATTATATAATGGGTAAATTGACATTTCCATAATATTATAAAAAAATTGACAAAATATAAAAAATATCAACAAAATTTCACTAATAGACATAATATTAATATTAATCATTTTTAACTTGGGTAGCTCGTACCGCTCCTCTAGTTCAAGTAGTTTAAGAGTGAAGCTAGCTTAGTGAATCGATTTCAAAAACTCTTCCCCTTCCCCTCGTAAACTCGGTAAAGCAGCTTTACTCCTTTCCCTTGCTTCTTTGAAAGTATTTGAGTGAAGGCGGCATAAGTGCATTGGTCACATAGGCTTGAAATTACATGCTCGTGTCCTATCCAGTAAATTCTGCAGTTGAGTCTTGTTGTCAAAGTAGTTTAGAAATGGTTAAACAATTATTTGTTAATTTAAATATTATTTTGGTTTTTTATTTTTATATTTTTTCCATAAATATCCACCTAAATTAGTTTGGATGTTTTTTTTTTAAACATGAGTTTACAAGGTTGTGAGAGCACCGTCTCTTAACATTTTTATCATTCATTGTTTTTTCATATATTTTATTTTATTTTTAGTTTTATAATTTAAATAAATCAAATAGAATGTCAATCTATTTGGCTGGTAGATTATTTGAAAATTGATATTAATTATATATATAAAAGAAAAATCCAAAGAAACCAACATTATTCCACACCGTTCTTTTTCTTTTTATTTGACAATGTAAAAATATAATCCAACAAGAATGTCATCAATCACAAGGAAAAAAAAGTTTTTCAAATTTGAATCAATAGTTAATATTAAACATTTCATAAAAATATAAAATTAATATAAATTAATGCATTAAACAAAATAATTTTTAAATATCAATATAAACTAAATTAAAAAATAAAAAAAACTATTAAATTAATAAAGACATTAAAGTCAATTTTAAAAAAACAATTATATGACTTCTGAAGATTGGCAGATACAACAAACCTACCTACTTAAATATTTCTAACATTTATTATATATTTTTCTACAAAATAAACATTGCTATTTAAAAATCCCATACATAAGTATTTTCAGGCATTTAAAATATGGGAGATCCAAAATGAATTGTTGAAGAGAATAAAAGTAATTTTATTTTCCTTTTAAATAAACGTCATATGAATTATTGGTCCACTGATTTCTTCTGCAGGCAACTCACAACTAATGTAACATTGCCGAAAAAAGAAAGTGTTTTTATTATATATTAGAATTACAAAATATTCGTAGAAATTGCGCCGACCCGCCATTAACGAGCGTGACAAAACGCGCTAGAAAGGACCATCGGTTTCGACCAATGGGAAAAAAGCTTTAGAAGAGGGCGTGAAGAATACGCGCCAAGTGAAGCAAATAATGTTCCCCGAAGCTGACAACGGCCTCTCGGATTCTGATTGGCTGTCAATCGTACGCTCTGTACGAACGATAATGACGTGGCATGATAATTCTCTCTCTTCCTTCTGTGGACGATATCTGATCTCATAATTTTTTTCCTTTTTCCCACTTCCTTATCCTTTTTCCATTTTAATATCTATTATTTCCCCTCCATTTTGGCAAGGTTTTTTTTTTTTCTTTTCCATTCCATTTACAAAAAATAAAGAAACTAATGGTGTATTTTCCCTTTACCATTTTCTAATAATAATAATAATTAGAAAAAAATTATGGAGGAGAGCTCTCTTTGGTATTCTCTTCCTATGAAATAAGTCGATTTTCGATTAGAATAGAGAGGACAACTACATAAAAAGTGGAGGCAGGTAAACTCTTGCCATCCAATTCAATTTGAAATTGGACAATTGTCAGATCCAACAAATCCAGACAACCGTCATGAGATTTGAACTAACTCCAAAATAATTTACTTAATAATGCTAACTTTAAGTAGGGTAGGTAGGTTCTTAAATGTAACTTTGGTCCAGGCGCATGAACGGCGAAGGAGAAAACTTTCTTAATTTTCTCTTTCTTTTTCCGGGGTCTTCTCTCAAGTGATTGGCCAATGAAAAAAACATGCATTTTTCAAAAGTGGGAAGAAAATTAAATGAATAATTATGGAAACGTGGGTCTGCTCTCCCTTTTTTTTTGGTGGTGGCAACGAAAACACATCCCACAACCAAACAGTCCCTCTTTATAATAATAATAATAATAATAATAATAATAATTTATTTATTTTTATTTCATCATCTTTTTCTTTCCCTTTTTCTTCTTCTGGGTATCTCAGATTCTTCCCCAAAATTTCCTTTTTTGCTCTCTGATTCTCCCAAACGCTGCCTTAGGGTTTTTGGCCTCAAGGAAACCAAAATTTTTCCCATTTTTGTCCTTCATTTTCGATGTTTCTCTGAGTTCTGCTAATTTTTGAACAATTTCTTTTGGGGTTGATCCAATTCCAAACGAGCCCTTGAAATCTAATTTGTTTCCCTTTTTGGCCCTCCTCTCTGTTTGGTAAGATTTCTGGCTCCATTTTTTCTTTCTTTTTTTTACTCCCTTTTGCTGTTCCATTAAAGATTAAACTACTACTACTACTACGACGACGACTTGTCGTTTGCGTGGGAAAAATGGTGAGAGGGAAAACGCAGATGAGGCGAATCGAGAATGCGACAAGTCGGCAAGTTACGTTCTCCAAACGACGGAACGGGCTGCTGAAGAAGGCTTTTGAGCTGTCGGTTCTTTGTGATGCCGAGGTTGCCCTCATCATCTACTCCTCCAGAGGGAAGCTCTATGAATTTGCCAGCTCAAGGTATCCAAATTAAATTCTCTTTTCAACCAAATAACACCAACAATAATAATAATAATAATAATAATCCTGGACTGGTTCTTAAGCCTGATTATTTATTTTTATTATTATTATTATTATTTTTGGTGTTATTTTATTGATATGACCAAATAATGATGTGTGTGGTTCTTATTTGAGAGTGATTTTGACTTGGCCGTCATTAATTTTCTATAATCACTTTGGTATTATTCTAAAAGACTAGGATATGTTTGTGAATAATTTTAATAGGACCAAAATTGCAACTTTCATTTAAAATAATTTTATTTTACAATGATATACAATTAATTTATTGTTAGGAAATGTCAAGTAAAAATCACTCTCGTTCATGCTCTTAATGTCATAGGGGAATTTTGAATAATATTATATTTGATCTATTATATATCACTAAACCCAATAAACAAGGAGTAGGAATTTTGATATCGAATCTTCTGCTCTGATATCATGTATAATTTCACGAAACTCTGAAGTTGGTAAGGGGCCGATTAAGGGTGTATTTTACTTTAATTTTTTTATATATAGTTTTTAACATTAGGGTTTTAAATATTCACAAAAACTATGGAGAAGCAAGCCATTGATGGTATGATTTGGTTTGGTTTTAACTGTTATTGGTGGTTCATTGGTCCAAAGGAGCTAGGGTTAATTAAGAGCGAGTGAGTTCAGACCCCATGATGACCACCTATCGTAGGAATTAGTAATTTTATATGTGTTTCCCGACACCAAATGTTGTAGGGTTAGGTGGTTGTCCCGTAAGATTAATTATTCGAGGTGCGTATAAGTTGGTATGGACACTCACAGATATTAAAAAAAAAAGGTCAATTCACTTAAAATATCAAATACACTGGAAAATTTATAAACTCATATTATATTAATATATTTTTTTACAACGGGATATCGGAACTTTGCTCCAGTCCTATAGAGACATTCGCACCCTCCCAAACCTTGAACTCAGGAAATATCAAGAATTTTCGGTATGAATTCAAGTGACAAGCTCTTGCCAACTAGCAAGGAAAAAATAATAATATTATACAATTTTATGATTTACAAATGTTGTCTTAAGACTCAATGTGGGGAGTAAGAAAAAAAATAGGAAGTGGGTTTTTTGTTTTTTTCAGTAAACCAAATTGCTTTGTGATTTGTACCTTTGTATTGTTAGTTTATTTCTTATTGAATCATATGATCTAGTATTGATTTGATGAAAATATAGAAGATAATGAGGGAGAAAGCTTTTATTTATTTATTTTTTATTTTGCGATCTGTGCATGGTGATGTTATTTCATGTTTATTTGATTTGTCCTTACTTTAATTTATCTATATTTAATAAATATGAAATTGGATGGTACAATTTCATCATGTGTTTGTCAGTGTTGCTTGATGATTTTTTTTAATCATAAAAAATGGACGACTTTCTCGAAATATTATTATAATGTTATAGTTTTTTGTTTGTTTAATGTTTATATTTGCATGATATTATTATAATTTATAGTCACATGAAAATTAGTGTTGCAAAAAGGAAAAAAACTGATTTGACTCCATTAATGTCTGATGTTTTGAGAGGCCTAAGTCTTGCTTTAATTAAGAACCAAAAATAATTCGTTATGTTATTTTACTAACTCAATTTAATTATTAATTAGATAACACTAAACACAATTTAGTACCACTAAAATAAGAACTCTGATTAAATATATTTCTAAATTCAGCAGACTTGAATTTAGCTTAGGGGATAAAACACCAATTACCTTCTTTAGGGGTTAAGGTTTAATCCTCTATCTTACATTGGTTGTACTTAGAGGAAAAAAAAATTCACTTTTTAACTCTATATTTTGTTTTGTGGGCTATTTTTAACTTTTTTATTTATTTATTTTTATTTTGATAACTCGGAATCGATATTATGTGGCTTCCCCAGTTGGATCCCTATAATTAAGGATGTCGACGACCACCTAATATTGTGACTGATTTGCGAGACTCGTCTCCCCCAATGGGGTGAGGAGAAGTCCCAGCTATGCCCCCACGGGGTACAAATTGTGAAGGAGTATCCCATTCGACTACAAACTCACTACGCCACCATCTGCCCGTGGTGTTTTAACCTTGAAATTTTCAAATTAACTTGTACAAGAAGGGTAAAATTAGTAATTGGTCCAAGTAACTAACTTTATAATCTAAACTTTTGTTTCTTTATTTCATTGATTTTACTTGCATTACTTATGGTTCAGCATGCAAGCCACGGTGGGGCGCTATCTGAGGCATACAAAGGAAACCCATCATCTTCAACCATTAGTTCGTCAACATACTTTACAAACCGTTCAGGTTTGTCCTACTTTCAAACCACCGTTCTCAAACATATTTCCAAACAACCAATACATCAATCTATCAATCAAATAATTATATGAATATATCGATAAAATATGGATGTAGAGACAGTATCGTGTTAGGAATGACATCGTAATCATTAGGCGAACTTACAAGTTTAGTCCACAAACTTTTAGAATTGTGTCTATGATCTTTTTAAGGTGTCTAATAAACCTATAAATTTTACCCGTGAATTCTAATAAATGTCCAATAATAACCATCATGGGTGACTCGTTGGTCCAAATTAAAAAGATTAGGGTACGGTTAATTAAGAGAGAACAAGTTCAAACCCCATGATAGTCATCTACGTAATTCCTATGTATTTCCTGGCACAAAATGTTGTATTTCTTATGTATCTTCTGATTTACGAAAATGCCCCCGGGTATTTTATAATTTTACTCCCTAGTGTGTATGTTTGTTTATTGGAAAACTAGTTATTAATTAGTATGTACATATTATGAAATGTTGTCTTTGCTTTTACTGTATGCTTTTGAAGCATGAGGCTGCAACTTTGGTGAAGGAAATAGAGTCACTTGAGGTTTCAAAGAGGTAGAAATTTTGCCTTGGTTTGAATTTGAGCAAAATTTGGGTGCTTTGAATCTGAAATTTTGAGGTGTAATGAAGCAGGAAACTGTTGGGAGAAGGTCTAGGATCAAGCTCCTGTGAAGAACTCCATCAAATAGAACAACAGCTAGAAAGGAGCTTAACCAATGTCAGAGCAAGAAAGGTCAAAAACTAAACTTCAATTCTTCAATTTCTGTCTTTCGTTTTCCATAATATTCTTTTTAGCTCGTTTGATAACTACGTTGTTTCGGATTTCTGTTTTGACAAATTAAATTTAGAAACATTATTTTTATCTATGTGTTTCTTATTATAATTCTTAGGAAAATACTTGGCTCGTGAAGACCAATCTTGTCTTCCTCACTACAATTAAATATTTAATAACTAACCAACAGAGATGCAATAATAAAGATTTTTTTTAAAAATAATGAGTTTGTCAGGTGAGACGTTAATCAAGGAGCCAAGTATTTTTCTAATTTTTATAGACATTTTCAAAATTTAGCCCAAATTTTGAAAACAAAAAACTGTAGTTTTTGTTTTGGAAATTGGACTATGAACTTAAATTTTCAAGAGGTGAAAAATTGACCAACGTAATTATACGAAAACGAACATAATTCTTAAATACTAAAAACTAAAACTAAAATAGTTGTCAAGCGACGCTAAGTTGAGATTAGGAAGCATATGAAACAAGTATTTGTTAATTTTGTAGACTACATTCATGGTGTGTTTGGAAGTGTAATTCTGGCCACCAAAATCATTTTCATCATTGTCAAAATCACTTTTCTTTTCATTGATGATAGATTAAAAAATTGATTTTTAAGGTATGATTTGAATGGTAATTTTGAAAAGTCAATTATATTTCAATCTTTTTTTTTTCAAAATCACTCATTCTATCATCATTTCCAAACACACCTTAAGAATGTCATAAACTCAACTTCGTGTTATATAAACTCAAAACTTTATGTATGCTAAATCTATGATTATAACATGAATTTTTGTTGACTTAGAATTAACCTGTTTAATTTTTCTGATTCTCAGCACCAGGTTTACAGAGAACAGATTGAACAACTAGGAGAAAAGGTAAGGGAAAAAAAAGCTTAAAAACTTGATGATTCCAATGGATTATGGAAATTCTTAGGCATGAATATTCTTTTTATTTTTCCCCCTTTCTAAAAAAAAAAAAAAAAATACAGGAGAAGTTTTTGGCAGCTGAAAATGCAAAGCTAGGCGAAAAGGTAAATTGTTATGAAACAAATCTTTGTGATCAACTTAAGGTTATAAACCTAAAGAAGTGAGAAAACAACAGTTTATGCATTTTGTGATACAGTACTGTGTTCAACTTCACCATCGACAATCACCAAATGAACAAGGAGAGGTTTCGCCTCACCCCGAAAGCAGCTCGATTTCAGACGTCGAAACCGAGTTGTTCATCGGACCGCCCGAGTCGAGATCATTGAAGCGACGCCTTCCTTTGCAAACATGATTTGGTACTTTTTTTTCTTCTTGCCCAAATTGTATCATATAACAACTGCCAACTGATGTTCATACTTTGTTTTGTTTTGTTTTTTGTTTTTTAATATATGTTTGGCAGCTTGAATAATGATGTCAATAAGAAGAAGAAAACAACAATGAGAGAGAGAGAGAGAGAGAGAGAATGAGAGGGAATTGGCTATATTTTGTTGTCTCTTCTTCAAAATTCTAAGCTTGAAAGTGTGATTTTAATGTACAAAAATTGTTTTATTTCTCTTCTACAGGTTTGTTCAACCTTCACAATTTCATTTTAGTTTCATTTTAGACCAAATTCCTTATTTTAAAAATGTATTTTAAAAAAATATTATGAGAACTGGGATGTATCTAAAATTTGAATTTCCTTGTTTCAAAACTGGATCCATTCAACATTTTTTTTTTAAATATTATGCTACGATGGACTACAAGTAATACATATATACAATTTTTTTTATAGTTTTTTTTCCTTTTTTTTTAATAAAAAATGTTGGGGAGGAGATTCGAACTTATGACCTCGTTGGTATATATCAATTATCGTTAAATTAGGTTCATTTTTTTAAAATGAATTCTATAAATATTGATGTGTTAGGTGTATGCTTATAAAGGCTTAAACCTATCATCTGTTAGGTATCTGAATTTGCAACTGGTGGACTATTGCAATGCAAGTTATCTGGATTTTCAATTAAAAGTATTCTAATAAGATTTACTTTATCGTATTTTCCATGGTACAAATTATTTTATTAAAATATTAAATAGGTACTCTATTTCAGTTTCAATTTGATTTCTATAATTTTAGAAATAACAGATTTTATTCTTATTTTTAAAAAATGTCTTAAATTGTGGGAAAAGTTTCGAAACAACAAAATCAAATTATTTATTATTTTTTTTAATTTTTAATTTTTTTTTGTTTGAATAGAAAATTAAAGTATTATTTTATCACTCTTGATTTACAAATCACATAAAAAGTATTCAAAATAAACATAAAACAAAATTTATGGAGGCGTTTTGTGACGGGGACATTGTACTTGCGGGCAATCGTTTTGTGGAGGCGTGCAATAACGTCAAATTTCTAGAGGCTTCGGCCATTCTTGAAGGTCTTCGCAGCTCGATAAAACTTGGAGTTCTTCGCCCTCTTCATATTGAGACAGATTCTGTCGAAGTGGAAAGTTTGCTGAATGGGAAGAGGGAGGACCTTACAGAAACCGGGTGGGTTGTTGAGGAAATCCTCAATTTGAGGGATTCTTGTGAGATTTTGGCTTTCACAAAAGTGGGGAGGCAGGCGAATGGATGTGCATACTCTCTTGCCAAGAGAGCTTCTGTTTTGAGGGAGAGTGTGATTTGGGTAGATTGTTTTCCCAATTGGTTGTCTATTTTAGCCAAACAAGACCTTTTAGAATTGTTTAAGTTTTTCAGTTCTAAAAAAAAAATAATAATAAAAAAATTGAATATTTAATTTAACAAATAATTTTTTATAGAAATGTTTTTTCTCCTTTTAATTTAAAATTTTAGAGAACCATATTAAAAGAATGCGAGAGGGATTTTTTTTTAATATAAAAGGAATGTACTTAGAAGGAAAAAAAATATAGAATTAGGATACTTTTCAAACTCGTTAAAAAAGATAAGGTTGATAAAATTGTATTAATGTAATGCTAAATCGTGTTATATTTGATATGTTTTACCTAACATAAATGACATGTAAATACGAGAGCAATACTGAGTTTTGTTAAATTTTTATAAAAAATATGTATGAATGTAGATAAGTTTCTTAGTTGACACGTAAATCGCGTGTAAACTAACGATTTACTCTACACGTTAAAGTACATGGATCACAATTAAGTGTGCGTAAAATAAACACAATTTTTTACCTGACAAGAAAATATTATATTTTTTTTGGTAATAGTATCTCTGCATACCCTACTTTGAAGTATTTTGATTAAATTTACATTATAGTTTAATATTATTTTAAAAAACTACTTTATTTTTATTGTTTTTTTATAAATACATTATTGTTGAAATTACCTCGTGAAAGTTTATTTTAATTTGTTGATTTTTTGAAAAAGAATCTTACGTGGGCTCATCATAACTGAGGCCCAACTTTCAAGGCCCAAGAATAAGGCATCCGGGCCTCGCTTATAAACTAGCGAAGCTTCCAGAACGAACGGTAGAAGAGAGAGAAAGAGAGTGAGAGAGAAATGGCGGGAGAAGCAGAAGCACCAAGGAGAGCTTATGGCGCTCCTCCGAGAGGCCCTCATGTTCCTCCTCGTCCTCGCTTGGAGCCCGTTGATCGCGAAAAGGTTTCTCTCTCTCCCCTATAATTTTAGGGTTGCTGTCCGTTCCGGCGCCGTATCAGATACATACATTTTTATTTGTTTTGGTGCTCATTAGCTTGTTATAGAATCCATCCTCATCTTCAATCGTTTCGTTGTTTCTTTGCTCTTAAATGTCGTAGAAATTGCAAATTTGTTTTGGGCTAATCATGTTAGGGTGTGCTTTTTCGTTACCTCGTAGTGTACGGAGATGGCTGTGTAAACATAGGTAGTAGCTTTCGATTTCTCTGCTGAATAACCGTGTTCCTCATTTTGCAGACTTGTCCTTTGCTGCTTCGTGTTTTTACGAAGGTACGTTGTATGAAATTTTGTTTGATTTCTTTGCACATCTGGAAGGAAGCGCGTTTTCAAATTTAGTATGTGATATCGCTTAAAGAACCATAGTTTAATCCAGGAGCTATATCAATAGGGATGGAGTGAAATGCGTTGGCCGCCGACTTAGTGGGAAATGTTCTTTTGTTTATGTCATTGTGATTGTGGTGATAAATAGGATTTAGGAATCGGATGAGAGGATAATTTTAGCAAATTTCTCTGGATTCTGTTGTATATTTAGGTTATCAGGCTAAATGGCTTGTCGATGATCTAGGCTCTCGATTATATACGATGCCCTTATTTGGAATCTTGGATTATGGAAGCATCATTCTCAGGGGCAAAGTGGAGCGACGATGGAAATAGAGGGGGAAATTGCCCTAGTTTCTTCATCTTAGATTAAAAAATTATATTAAAAAGTTAAAGATTTTAGGGGTTTGCTCTAATTTATGTCTCTAATTTTTTTTTTTTATTGAAAGTTTATATATACAAAAACTTGGAAGGTAAAACTTTACCCTCCATGTGAAATGGGTCCGTATGAAACTGACATTAGCTRTTATTGCAAAATTTCTGCAGGTTGGGGGTCATCATTTCAATGAAGACTTCGCTGTGAGAGGCAAGGAGCCGAGGGACGAGGTTCAAATTTATACCTGGAAAGATGCTACTCTTCGTGAGCTAACTGATCTGGTTATATTTCCCATTCTTTTTCAACACTTTCTCCCTGCACGCACTGCATGACATAAATGATCAAACGATCTGTTTCTTTTTTTGACTTTATATCCATGGCTTCATATAATAGAAACTATTTCCCCTTCCATTGCCCTTGAACTTACATTGGGGTGTTACAGGTCAAAGAGGTAGCTCCGGAAGCCAGGAGGAGAAATGCCAAACTATCTTTTGCTTTGGTGTATCCCGACAGACATGGCCGGTTTGTAGTGAGAGAGGTATCTCTTTCTCTATATGCATGTATACATATATTCGTGATTTCAGGATGGTATATTGGAAAGTATATTCATGATTCTTCGCCCTTTTACTTAGTTGAGTGTTCCAAAATCCAGCCAACAAAACACTCAAAATATGTCCATGACAATACTCGAAGTTCAACAAGAAAACACTGTTACAAATTCAAGCAACAAAGTCCTAACAACAGACCGCACAAGACCAGCCAAACAAATGCTTATAACAGTCACAAAAATCGGTACTCATGAAAATAATCTGTCCAACAATCAGAATGCCACAAATGTCAAGGAAAAAGAAAACGATTGAACTAATGGAGAGTATAATTAATTATTTATTCAAGTCTAGGAATCAATTCAATGAAATTAAACTTGTAAGGATAAATTTGACTCACCCAACTAAATAAATTAAAAGATCCCTATTGTCCGCCTGCATGTATATGACTTGATTGACGGGACAATAGTTCCAGACTGGACTTCTTGATAGTCTTTTAAGTAAGTTTAAGTCTGACGGTTTTTTTGAAAGATGAATAATCCTGCTTCTAGGATGTACTAACACGCTGAACTTGTGCTTACTGCTTACCTTGCATATTAAAGGAGACGACAACTTGGTGTACGATTACATACCAATCTCATGTTTGCTGGATAGAATTAATCTGACTCGAAATGTTTTGTAATGAATCATACTCTCGTTTGCAATTTCTTTTATCGCAGAGAATTGAAGGGCTTGAGTTTGTGATATATTTCATTTCTTGATACATTGCCCGCACTTATTGAGTTTGATTCTTTTTAAAAACTAATTTTCATGTATGAGTTAAGTTCTGAAGAAAGCGAACTACTAGGTTCTGAGTAATCCAGATTTTGTTTCTTCATGTGAAGGTTGGGAAGACATTCTCATTTGGAAATGGACGATTAGACGATAGCTTGGCCTTGGCTGAACTCGGTTTTCAGGTATAACAAACAGGGCTTTTGTTTTTTGTTTTTTTTTTTGCCATATCTAGGTGCTGAACTAGAAGTTTATTTTTCATGAAGAGTGGCCAAGTTTTATCTTTTTTTTTTTTTAAAAAAAAACTTTGATGTCACTCGAGTCACCCCAGTTGCTATTAAAAAAATAGGGTTAAGATAAATAAAACGTTTTAAGAGTTCAATTCATATACGAAATACGAACTCAAGAGGTATGTCGGTCCTGTATTTCTTCTGATGCTGTATTATTTTTTCCCGTTTTTGCTCAGATTGGAGATTACTTGGATGTGGCAATTTTATAGAGAAGATTGGTGCCTTTACAAGTTTACATGCTAATGGCTATGGTGACTCGTAAAGATATTGTGGGGCATGACTCTTTTCCCCAGTGAATAACAAACGAATGGGGACATAAACATTAGCTTAAATCTCGTAATGTAAACTAATTTCTTGGAAATCCTTGGCATACTTTTCCTTGTTCCCTTGAACTTATTATGTAGAATCATGATAGTCATTAGTGGGATAATTTGAGTTTTCTTTGATAACGGTTTTGTTTCTCATTTTTCGTTTTTTAAGTTTTTATTAATATAACATATAGTAAATATTCATGTTTCTTGTTTCTTATTTTCAAGAAATGTTTCTAAAATTTTGTAAGCAAAAAAAAAAAGTTTTTTGTTTTTGTTTTCAGCCTTTTCTTTTAACATAAATTTATTATTATTGACTTACAAAATGCATAATAAATATTAAAAAATAGAGATTTTTTAGTATTTATTAAAATAAATTAAATTCCATATAAAAAATTATTTTTTATTTTAAAATTGTGGAGATAGAGAAAAAAAGAATTGTGAATGTAGAAGGAAAAAAAATTGTAAATTGTGCATAATGTTGCATGAATTAGACCTTGGGGATAGAACTTTTGGTTAGGACGATAATTGTGGATCATGAAACCATCTTAGGCCAATAATGATCTTAATTTTTGTTTTTTGTTTTTTCTAAAAGTTAAATAAACTAGCTTGTTCATATATTTTAGTTTTTGTTCATAACATGAAAAGAAAAGAAAAAAGAAAATGTGTTGTAACGTTTTTTGGATTTTAAGGTCATTTTCGTTCTTTTGAGTTCATTCCTGCCAAAATCGATAATTATTAACTTTCAAATATCCCATTTTATTTTAGAAACACTTATTTAGGTAGTCACATCTCATCATGTCAATAAAAAAAGAAAAAAGAGTAGGATTTATGAAAAATTGGAGCAATAATGGTAAAGTTTCAACTTTTCTAGCAGGTGTGTTAGCAATTTCGTTGGAGTATTTTTAGGTATAAATGAACATTGAAGTAAAAATCGAAAATTGGAAAAAATTGAAATTTTTTGAAAAGTAACGGAAAAAAAAGATACAAAAATTTATAGCATTTTTTTTTTATTTTTTAAAAATTAGAGAACTGTCACTTTTTTATTAGCAGTAAACAGAACAGATGATGAATACTACTGGCCCGAGTAATTTTCATAAATAAATAACAGAAGAAAATAGATATATAGATAAAATATGACGGAAGAAAATAAATTTATAGATAAAATAGCGATATCATATGTTGTTTCTAAAAGGGGCATGCCAATTACTATTTTTTGTCCATTTCATATTCGAATTTATAATTTAACTATGAAATTATTACTTTCGCTTACTGCAAGACAGCGGGGAAAGAGCGGGAAATTTTAATGGCAAAGTAAAAAAGAACAAAAAAAAAAAAAAAAGAGCGGGAGTATAAAAAGGACCGGCGTTCAGTTCCTGTTCGCAGAATTGTTATTTGATAGCAGACTTAACTGAAAGGTTCCGTTCTTCGGTTACCTTTGCTCTCTCTTTTGCGTGAGCGCGCGACGAAAATTCTCCTACCATTCTGCACCAATGATCTTCGTCGCTTTCTGATTATTCGTTTCAATCATCTCCGTCCTCGTGTTCATGGCGTCGAAGAAAGGATCGGTGTCTGGTTTGGCTAAGGACGAGGATGAAGGAGGTAATGGCGGTGGTGCCGGAGGATATAGGTTCTTTTCGGCTCTTATCGTCTTTCTCTCCATTCTCGCGCTCGCGCCCTTGCTTTTTGTTGTCGGCCGAGGCTTCCACACTACTGGTATGCCTCTTCACCTGCTTTTGATCTCCCTGCGGTTTAGGAAAATGAATGTAGTGTAGYTTTTACTCCGGATGTTTAGTTGTTAGAACTCTAGTCAATTTTCGCTTTATTTTCCTCAGTAAAGGTTGAAAGCCATAGTTAATTGACTTTGCAATTATATTTTCTCTACTGGAAGAACTACAGCTTCTTATTTTCATTATTTATTGGAGCGGCAAATAAGTGTAGCGTTCGCTTCGAGAATTTGAATCATTGTCAGAAGTTGGAGGGATAACGAAATAGAAATTTTACCTAAGTAGAATTCCACGTTTTAAGTTTGATTGGAAGAGTAAAATAAGCATCTAGTCCGACGTTTTCCTTGGTGTACGGGTCCTGAAGAGGATCGCAAAGGAGAAGCCTAGTCACTCTTTTATCACAAGATACGACATTATGTGTGTGTTCTTSTKKKSTRYTRTTRTTATTATTATTATTATTCATGTATATGTGTTGCCTCTGTTTCTGCTATGTCTTGAACAATATCATAACCTATTCTTGGACATTGCATGGCTATTCTGATCAATTACTGCTTTTGTACTCATATACCTTTCAAGAGGTATTTCATGTATCTTAGTGATGAATCCGGTGAAATTATGCGAAAGTTACTTTGTGATCATCATTTTTATTAAGAACAATGTAATATGGGCATATGCATGTCTATCCTTATCATAGACGTGGTTTTCGTTTGTCCATTTGTTCTTTGTTTAATTTTTTATTACACCTCTGCAGGTGAAAGGGTCATTTCAAGTAATCCAAGCGAATGGGTAGGTTACTAAAACGTTCTCTGTTCTGCAAAAGATACTTATAATAACTGGTTAGTATCGTATGATGTGGATTGAGAAAATTATTTGCCAAATATTTGTCGAGACTCCTTCTGGTAACGTTCAATTGTGTGTGGATTTTCTTACTCTGACTTATTTCTTATCTATCTATTAATCCTTGAGCCATGAGAAGTTCGAAATTTAGAAACCGTTTTCTGTGTGAAATGTTGATTMCGACTCTACTGCAGGAGCAGGATATTGATGATATTGCAGCTAGCCCAAACGATACGGGAACTAATGACATCAATTCTACAGGGAATAATAATTTGACCCTATTATGGAATTTGGTTGGGGTGAACGCCTCAGTTGATGCGATTTCTAGAGTAAACCTGACAACCTCAAACTCTTTTTTCTGGCATTATCGATTTTGTACTCACTGAGTTATGATTTTACTTGTAGCCTAGCCAAACGGCTGTAGTTCCGAGAAAAGGAACCCACCAGGGCGAAGAAGACGACTCTTTGGGTGGTAATACTAGAACATCTTATGTTTACGATGAATTGCTAGTTTTTGTTTTTTGCCGTTTTGATTATTGATGCCGTTGTCTTTTACGTGTTTGCATACGGAATTCATCAATATGCTCGCTCTCCCTAAACCAGCCCGAAGGGTAATAGTTACTGACTATAATTTTCATTTAAATAATTCCTGTGTTGAAAATAAAATTTGTCTAATACTTCCCTGCTTAGATGAGTTGGAGGAGAAGGGTAACCTTAATGTTCCCCCGTCCCTGTGGTTTCAATTCTGCAGATGGTAAGAGAAGAGCGATACGAAAATCAGTTTATGGAGTTGGTTCAGCAGGATGATGATACCATTGTAAAACTTGAGAATGAAAATATGCTAGCTTCTGAATTAGTTGGCTCCTCGATTCATGGAAAATACAGTACATGGAAGAAAGAAAATGAGAACAAGAACCAAGATTCAACTATACGCCTGATGCGAGAYCAGATTATTATGGCAAGAATATACTTGAGTCTATCGAAAAAGAAAAAGAAATTTGACTTGTATGAAGAGCTCCAAATTCATCTTAAAAAGATTCGCCGTGTCCTAGGAGAGGCAAATATTGATGCTGAGCTGCATTACAGGTATCAGAACTTGGTCCTTTAATGTTGGATGTGGTAAATTATACTAATATAATGAAAAGCTAAAAGAACTTTGGATTGTATTTATTATTTGCATTATTTCATGCTCGTAATTCTTCAACGACTCTTCTTATGTAACGCGATGCATTCTTTTGTAGTGCGCCAAAGAAAATAAAAGCTATGGCCGCTATTCTCTCAGAGGCGAGAGATCAACTGTTTGATTGCAAGTTGGTAACGAAGAAGCTGAGAGCAATGCTCCTAACAGAAGAAGAGAAGGTTAGAAGGTTGAAACGACAAAACACATTCCTCACTCAATTAGGAGTTAAGGGTATTCCAGGCGCCCTTCGCTGTCTGTCCTTGCGCCTTWCTATCGATTATTACCTTCTTCCTCCGGAGCAGAGAAATTTCCCGAGAAGTGAAAATTTGGAAAGTAAAAAATTTCACCATTATGGCCTCTTCTCAGACAATGTGTTGGCTGCGGCAGTAGTTGTGAACTCAACCGTAATGAATGCTAAGGTGAATTCAACTGATTAATTTAGTGGGTTATTCATGAAAATTGACTTGAACATGTATCGCAAGTATGACAGATTAGGTCAAAGTTATCTGTTTATGTTGTATTTTAATATTTATTTGTTTGATCGACAGGATTCTTCTAGACATGTATTCCACCTAGTTACTGATAATCTCAATTTTGGAGCAATGAGAATGTGGTTTCTCTTAAATCCTCCCAAAGAAGCTACGATCCAAGTTGAAAATTTAGATGAATTTAAGTGGCTGAATTCATCCTATTGTCCAGTACTCCGTCAGCTTCAATCTGCAGCAATGAGAGAATATTATTTCAAGGCAGGACATTCAATCACTCGTTCATCTGGTGCTTCCAGTCTGAAGTACAGGAACCCGAAGTATCTCTCAATGCTCAATCATCTGAGGTTCTACCTACCTCAAATTTACCCCAAGTTGGATAAAATTCTGTTTCTGGATGATGATATTGTTGTCCAGAAAGATTTGACTGGATTGTGGCAAGTAGATCTCGAAGGAAAAGTCAATGGAGCTGTGGAAACCTGTGTTCTGAATTTTCATCGTTTTGACAAGTACCTAAACTTCTCGAACTCTTATATCGCTAGGGAATTCGATCCAAATGCGTGTGGTTGGGCATATGGAATGAATATATTTGATCTTAAGGAGTGGAAAGAGAAAAATCTCACTGGCATATATCATAAATGGCAGAACTTGGTGAGTCTTGCACCCGTATCCCCTTTGTGTTGTTTCTTTTAACGATTGATCGTCGGATTAATTGTGTTTGCGGTGGATAAATTAGATTACATACACATTAGTGACATAGATTTGGCAATATTGGTTTCAGAATGAAGATAGGCTACTTTGGAGTCTCGGAACACTACCTCCAGGTTTGATGACATTTTATGGGCTGACATATCCCCTCGAAAAGTCTTGGCATGTGCTTGGCTTGGGTTACAACCCGAGTATCAACCTCTCGGAGATTGAAAATGCAGCTGTTATTCACTATAATGGCAACATGAAACCTTGGATGGAGATGGCGATGACCAAGTATCGCCCCTACTGGACAAAGTACATGGACTACGACCATCCTTATATTCGCCAGTGCAACTTCATTAGATGAAGCTGAACGTGGATATTGCAGCTACAGGTCTCTCTCTCTCTCTCTCTCCCGCGTTGAAATTCCTTTACTTGGTTTACTGCATGACAACATGGGGCTGGGGAAATTTCACATGTTCATAACACAGCTAAATGCGTTTGTAATTCGTTCGAGTGGCTCTCACGGGACATTATGCATTATAATGCAGTGGAAAAAAGTTGTAATGTTAGCATGTAAGAAAATTCTAATTCCGATATAGTTTGAGTAAAAGATAGATTGGGTAGATTGGGAAGTAAATGCCACGTTCACTGTTCTTTCCATCAAGATCAACATTCCTTATCCTAAGATTCCCTACTCTGAATTCGATGAACAAGAAWATCTGTATGTTTGTAGCCTTGTAGGCATAACGCATAAGAAATGCATTCCTTCTGTTTCATTTCTTTTTTGTTTTTGGCTTTCCCAACCTTCAAGTACTCTTTTATCTTAGGTTACCATCTTTCTAGTTTTGCATTTTTTTTTTCATTCTTAATATGCTATTGAGTAAAAATTATAATGCCTTATGAATTTTTCATTACTAAATATTGTCTTTAATACAAATATGATATATTGATTAATCATACGTAAATATCTTTTGATTGTGTTCTTTTAAGTTTCTAAAATTATATTCAGCATGAAACCAATTTCCAATTTTTAATCTGGGAATTTATATTATCGGGGTTCAATTTTCTATAGTTGATCTAATATTAAATTCACATTTCCTATATTTTGAATTCTACGCTCTCCATTTCACTCTCCTTCTCTTATCCCATTTTCTCCAAGTGACTTTTCTCTTGTGCCCACCATCTCTTTTATATTTTTTTAATAAGAACACCAATTACCATCTTCATCCATCACTTTGCTTTTTTCCTTTTCCTCCCCCTTTCAGATCTTCTAATTCTTCAATCCAGTCTAGCGAATCTAAACCATAGGGTGGTTGGTTTTTGGCTGTACATTGATTATGGTTTATTCCATAATCTGTAGTTGGTATAGTAATTCAAAGGAGGATCTTGTTACCATTAAATCTAAAGCACCCCTCCCCCTCTCACTCTTTCCTCCAGCTCCCGCAAAGATCTTTAGAAGAATAACCTCAGAAGCCAGTAACCACTTCTAGGGAGCTTTCTTCTTATGAGAATTTGAGAGAGAAAATGGAGAATCTTGAAATTTTTTTGGGTCGGTGGTTGCAAAGCAAACGATCGAGTATATTCATAAATATCAGTTCTTGAAAAGGAGGAAAAGGTTGAATACACCAATACATTAAGGTGGCTCCGTTGTCAAGCTTTTGGAGTCTCCTTTTTTCTCGAGAAATAAAATTTCTTCAGCCTTCCTCAGCTGCACCACTAATCCACAGAGGAGAAACCAGAGGTCTGTTTGAGAAGAATGCCTCTAAGTTGTCCACCATTAATTTAGACAATCTCAGGAAAGTCTCGTGGGTTGTCACAGCAACATGCGGAGACAACACAACATTGTCAAGAGTAAAAAGCTGTTCGGGAATCTCAGGTTCATTCTCAAACACATCCAATCCAGCACCCCAAATCTCTCCTTGTAACAGACATCGAATCATCTCCTTCTCATCGACGATCGCCCCGCGACCAATGTTGATTATCACTCCATCTTTTCCTAAAGCAACCATCACCTCCCTGTTGATCATATGGCGGGTTTCTTCAGTTAACCCACAACAGATGATCAGGGCTTCACACTCTGCTGCCAGTTCATGTACATTGGAATAGTAAGAGTATGGAACTAATGGCTTTTTGGTCCTTGAGTTATATGAGATTCTGCACCCAAAACCCTCCAGCCTTTTCGCAACTTCACACCCTATTCTGCCCAATCCAACAATCCCAATTCGTTTGCCGCTCAACTGTGAAATTTTCCAACCACTAAGTTCATCAATCTAAAACATCCATATTCAACTACACCTTTTCCATTAGATATCAACTCATTAGCCATTGCTTAACAAATTAGGAACATCAAAATCTGTCGCATCTTTTGTTAGTTAGGTGATTGGAAACGAAAAATAAAGAGAAAATTGCAATAGTAGAGAATGCATTTTGACTTCACCTTTAAGCCGAGAGGAAAATTCACTTTCGTAGACCAAAGCCCTTGCCTCATGAACCGGTCTCCCGCCGACACTTTCCTAAGAACGTCGATTAGTAATCCGACCGCCATATCGGCAACATCTTCAGAGAACAAGTTTCCTGCATAGGCGACGGCGACCCCACGGCGGCGTAATTCCGGCAAGTCCAAGTGATCGACTCCGGCGCTGGCGGTGGCGACGAGCTTCAGCGACGGGAGGCAGTCGAGAATTGCAGAGGTTAGTGCGAGACTGCCACCTGGGATGATCAAGGCTTGGACGTATTGGGCATAAGAGGTGAGGAATTGGGGCAGTGGGAGTTTGGAAAGCCATGGTTTGAGGAAATGGAATCTGTTTGGGAATTGGGATTCCAGACACGAGAATACTGTGGGAGGACCTAGAACCAAAACTTGAGGAAGATCCTGGTCTTGGCTTTCGGGTGCCATAGTTCTTGGTCGTTGAAAAATTCTGCTGGATCTCTAGCTTAGGAAAGAAGTGAAGAAGACAGATGTCTTTTTGGACAAGACGAGGGTGGGATCAACCATAAACTCTGGGATAATAGTAACAACTACTTTATGTCAAAAAATATAATAATTACGACGACTAAGTGAATGGGGCCTATTAAATGTTATGATTTTCTTCTTTGAAAAAGCTTTCTTATACAACAAATATAGAGATTTGAACTTGGAACCTTTGACTTCTTTCAAAATAAAGAGTGATCGACAGCAGCTAAAACAATTTAACTAATTTACACGACTCAATTACATTTAAATTGCTTAACTTGGTTTACTGCATGACACGGGACTTGAGGGAGTTTCACATCACACAGATGAAGTGGAAAAAAATGTGGGTCGCACAGCATTCCCCTTTTGTAGAGACTTGATTGGCTTTCCAGCTTCATGTATTTTTCATTTTAGGTTACCATCTTTTTCAACTGTGTATTGTTTCGTTCAAAATTATGATTATTAATATTTTTGGAACTTGTTTAGCCTTGAGAGTTTGGATTGGAGAATTGGTTTCAGCCTCCAGTAAAATGACTAATTCCTCATTCTAACTTCTAAGACCGAAAATGAAATGTAGAAATATTACTTTATTTATGTAATTTAGTTCCAATTTTTCATCTGGGAAGAGCAGGGGTCGATTTTCTATAATTGTTCTAAATTAAATTTATATTTTCTATATTTTTAATTCTATGCTCTCTGTTTCTCTCTTCCCTGGCTTGCATTTGTGGGGTGCGTTCTCTAATTTAATTCTCTTTTCAAGGCCTTTCTTTCTTAAGAAAACAACACCAACAGCACCAATCATAGGGATTGGCCATGATTTTGATTGATGAGGTTGGGTTTTCTAATTCTTCAGAGTGATCTTGTTAATTCCAGATGTTACCCTCACATCTCCTCTCTCTCCACTAGTCCACGACTTAACACTACTAAAATTGTAAAAACTCCTTTTAATTTAATAGCTGAAAAGTACCTCTTACCCTTTTCCCCATCAGAAATTGAGAGAAAATAGCAAACAACTAGAGAAATATTGGTGCAGGGGGCTGGAAACACAAATGCCTTAGTTATACAGAGTGGGGCTCTCTATTCTCTAGTATCAAGTTGTGGGAGTTTCCCCCTTTTCTTTATAAACCAGCCTCCCTCAGCAGAAACTCAACTAATCCACAAAGAGAGACACCAGAGGCTTATTTGAGAAGAAAGCTTCCAAGTTGTCCACCACCAACTCACACAATCCCACAAAAGATTC